AAAGTATGTTATTTTTCTCCTGGTGTCGTATACCTTTCATCGACGAAGATGTCACGGGTAAGACGACACCTGGGTAAACATTGGCAGCATTTAAACTTCTTCTAACCGACGCTCCACAGTGTACCCGAGGAAGGCCTATTAAGGAGGCCGAAAACGTTTGTACTCCAGTTAATAAGGCTAGAAATTAGTGAGAAAGGTTTTGTGCTGTTAGTCTTATTGAAATGATTGAGGGAGGTCGCACCAAGACGAACGGGGTATAAGGCTCTAGTAGTGTTACAGAGTATAATATGTATATTTTAATATATTTTTTACAAGGAACAAAACCACTGAGAAATGTTACATGTTTAACAAGGTTCGGAAAACTTTGAAAATGTTAACAATGGGTTCAGCTGTACCTGTACAAACCACTGAATATCACCACTGGTTATCTAGTCCAGCGACCCATAAAAATATTGTTTAATTTGAAATCTTCCATCATATTACATGTTTATAAGAAAGTTTCCATGCCAAAGTGGAGATTTCAGTTTCACTAATTATACATTGTTGATTTATTGGATGTCTGTTCAAAGTCATTCAGACAATTTAAAAAATTCTCTCTTCATTGTCAATTTTTTTATTTCTATGTAAGAAATCTATTTTGCATTTAATTATTTTGGACATTTTTTGAAAAAATCTATTGTTTCATAATTTCAAAGTCCATTAAATACATGTGTGTATTCACAATAGAATGTGTACTTATAACTTTAGCTTTAATTGAGCTTGTTTTCATCAGATCACGGAAATTTTGTAATCTCAAACTCAACTGTGAATTCTTCATAGAACTAGCCATCAATCTTCTACACGAAATTTGCAGTAATTCTTTTTGAAGCACTTAAGCTTCTTTCATACATTAGTTTTAGGTCTTGCTTTGAGTATAATTTGGTTATGTTTTCATTAAGTACACACCAACTAATAGTCTCTTCAAAATAGCTTAAGTAACTATGTAATAACTTGTAATATTAATGCATTTGTAAATGAACCAGTGAAATTATAAATGATAATATCATCATTTTATTCAAGAGTTACACAAAACTTCATTCAAAAAAGTTTGGATAATTCAGTCATGTTTTTTTGGTCCTTGAGTTTCAAAATAATGAGGTTTTACTGTAAATGTTTTCACATGCTAATATAAAAATGGTTAAGACTGATTGTAACCTCTTTGGTTATACATGCAATCACTAGCAGATGGCATTAAATATGTAATGGGAAATTTTTTAAATGGGAAACAGTTTTCTGTGTTAGAATCCTATTTGACTCATTAAAGCCTGAATTTGTTTTTTCTTAAAATTTTATATTTTTTCTTCATTAACAAATTAGTTGCATCCATTCAAAACAACTATTAAGCTTCAAGTTTTGAGTATTAGAGTAGTACGCTAGGTTCATGTATGGTCTTGTTTCAAGAGTTTCATTGCTTTTCTGTTTTTATTTATATTTCTATTTTCTGTGTTATAATATGATATCTGTTAAAGTATTTTATTTGATATGATGGATAGTCAAGGATTGATGGAAGGCATATTAATATGTAATTAAGAAACTGGTCATTTTACACATATAAAATCATTATTTTGGTAAATAAATAATTTTACAATTAATAATGAAAGTGTAAATTGTAATACAATTTCTTCAACTATTAAATAGTTCATATTTTAAGATTTATGTAAGATAAAAACTTTTTTTTCAATTAGCAAGTGTGAAACAACTTCAAACATTGAAGACAAAGTGCACAAAATATAATATTGGTCTAAGTTTGTACACATTTAGTGTAGTTTTCATCTTGACAGGTATACCTGGCATGATTACCTGTTATATAAGAATGCCAATTGGGGGGAGATTTTATTCCCTACCGTGGGATAGCTCTCAGGTCTACGCATATGTGGATGGCAGTTTTAAGAGGCATGCAAAAGACAAGTGTTTCACAGAGAAACTATTTATTCTTGTTGAAAATGCTTACATATTTCTTTAGCAAAGGTCCTTAAATTCAGAACTTCGGGTTGTCTTCAGAAGTTGTTTTCGGATTCGATATGGTCCTACTTTGGAGGGGCTGTGTCGAGTAAAAAGTTCAAGATCTGAAGTGACAACACACAAAAGATGAAAGGAAGCCGACAGCTGGAGGCAAATGAACACAACAGGTAGTCTAGGTGGAAACCTCTTTTGTCCTTGAAATCAGCATTTTTATAAGTTTTTCGATATCAACTTGTTGCTAATTGGACAGACTTTTCCTCATCGTTTTCCAATTGGTCTTCCTCCTGTCAGGTGTAAATGGAGCTTCATACAGTTTGCGGAAAACGTTGGCTGGAGACAGTTTATCCGACACCATCTTTTAGACTCTGATTGCGTTTAATCGTTGACTATGACACCTAGGCTCATTCTGATATTTTTTCTAGTTTTGTTTTGCTTTCTAAACTGTGTCTTAACTTTAATATTTTAAATTGTCTTTTTCTATATCTAAAATTTTGTTTTTCCCATCTACTCTTGAGCATCAATGTCAAAGTCTGGTGTTGCCAGTTTGACACTTAAATTGTCAAGAAAACAAATTATATAACTTAACAAATTTTTACATATCTTTCTTTTTGAGAGGGGCTATTTCTGGGGGTTCACAGGAATCCCTACCAAAGGAAAATGTCACTTGGTGCCAGTGACATTTTCTCTGGCAGCCTCGGAAGTTGACAGTTCGCTTCTGTCTTGAAATACAATATCATAATAACAATCATCTTTTGTTCTCTACTTTTTTTTCTCGCGCGTGTTTGGTTTCACATTACATTGCAATGTGCTCAATCGTCACATCATGTAAGCGTTACAAGATCAATTGGTTGATACTTCACATTACATTTCCCGTCCTTTGTCAAGGCACAAGTTTTTCTAGAAACTATTCCAAAAGATATGTTGTTCCTCTGTTTTTTTTTTTTTTTATTTTCTTTGTGAAATCAGGAACTACCTAAGCATACATTTCCAAATTAAAAAATTTTTATTAATGTCATTTATGACAAACACTTCATTATTTTCCTTGCATAAAAGATCATAATGTAAAATCAAACAAGCAAAAAATAATATATATACATATAAATACATATACACAGACACATATATTTCATATTCAAAAAAATAAAGCTGGCAAACAAAATAAAATAANGAAAAAAATACATTATTAGTATAGTATATTAGGATATTAGTATATCCCATGTAATTAGTTTATTAGTATATCGCTATTAACCAACTTTGCGTTGAATTTTCATCGATGTTTAGCCGAACAAATTTTTTTTAAATTAATAAACGTCGCTATTGTATCATTAAAAATTATTTTAAAATTATTTTATTGCTCATGAAACAAACAACCACTCATAATTAGAAAATTAAGTCTCGTTTAAATACTGGCCTCCCTTCAATGGTCGAGCAATTGATGCCAGCTAAAACGTGCAAAAATTTAACAAAATAATATTAAAGTAGCCACATCACTAGCGGACATTTGAAATTTGCCGACTAGAATGGTCAGTTAATCGGGGGTCGGATAATTGATGCTCTACTGTATTTGTAATCGGATAGGTAATCCATGTTTCTGTAATGCCTACTATGTGGTTATTATTCAACAAATATACAAAATTATCAGATTTAATTTTTTTTTTTTTTTTTGGTAGTCCTTGGCAGTTCCAATTAATTATTCGTAATAAATTGTCTTGTTGTTGTTTTTTTCTTATTGATTTCTTCTTTAATATTGGTTAAGTTGTCCGATTTGACAGACCTTCCAAAGGAGTATACTCTAAAAAATCTTCAGTGTAAACTAATTGATGCTGTGTTAAACTATAAGTAATTTTATGCTGATTTATCATGAAATAATCATCTCGTAATTTAATTTGAAAACTACATTTTTTTAGATCAATGTAATGTGATAAAAGCATTTTTCTTCTTAGTCGTGAATCCTTAACTAAGTCTGCAGCCAGATTTACGTTCTTCCATCCTCCTAATAATTTATTTTGTTTTAACTTATTAAAGTTCATCAGTATAGTATTGCATATTTGTTCTGTTTTTAAAGTTATACATTTAATGTTAATTCTAAGATTGGGTATATTATGAATAGATTTTATATATTCTTTTTCATTGTTTGGCATTTTACTAACAAATGCTAGAAAGTCTAAAAGTTCTTTGTGATTCTTATCTATCATAATATTTGTAAAATCGTAGATTATTAACTTATTATTAATAATAGCATTATTCTTAGCAAGTACCCAGTTTAGTCAACTGTAATTCAATTTTTTCGTATTTTACATTCGCCAGTTTTGAATTCTATAATTTCAATGTGAATATTATTAATTTCATCATGAATAAGCGTAAATCGATTATCTATCTTTTGGTTGCTAGCAGTAATAAGTTCAACTATCTTTAACCATAACTCTGCAATTGAGATGTCAAATGTCTCTAAATTAGTTGACTCAGTTAAACTATTAGATTTAGAATTCTCACCTGATGTATTTGGAGAGACTGTTCTTCTTGTTTCTGTATAGCCGGTTATAAGATCTGTTTTGGATCCAGATGATTTTGCATAGTTAGATGGTTGATTTGAACAATTAGTAGGTGGTCATCCTCTTTTTGTAGGTGTTTTCTGCAGAGGTCCAGGGTTAGATTCAATGCCAGACATTAGCAATAGTAGCAAAATCAGTTTATAATTAATCATTATAGCAAACAAAAAAATATATTTTGAGGCAATTATCAAGAAAAAATTTCTTTGGTGAAGCAGAGAGAAAAAGTCGCCAACAGACTTGACAATCAGAACTTTTAAAATTTTAAATTTGTATTGATATTGAATTTGAATAAATTAAAAATTATCTTATAAATTAAACATTTACAAACTCAAACAGTCATACCTAATACAGCATTTGAACTCTCAATTTGGAAAACAACAAATAAACTATACTGATCTAGCAACAGAGTTTAAATAGAAAAAATATAAAGAAAACTTTTTGTTTCAGATTAGACAGGACTGCAGTTTTTAGATTAAACCAGGATTTGAATGATAAATATGCTGCATTAGACATAGATATGATTACAGAAAATATTTCACTTCCTAAACCACCATTAGAGTTACAACCTGGATTCTGTCCTGAACCAAGGTATTGAAAACTTATGTTTTGAAATAGCTAATACATAAGATTAAAACTGTTATTATTTTAGAACAATAACAATAGATGATTGGCTGGGATTTTGTAAACATAACATTAAGAGAGCTGAAGAACAAGAAGAAATCTCTCAAAAACTTTATACCAAAGCAGAAGGAATATTGAATGAGTGCTATAGAGATTTTCATAAACAATATAATCTTATAATTGAGTCTATGGAGGATAGAATAGAACAAACAAGACAGGCAAAAACTGTATTAGAAAATCATTTAGCAAAGGTAATTATTTTATTATTTTATTCACATAAAGCAATTTCAAATATATTTGTTCCATGCATAATTAGATAATAAAACAGATTGAGAACATAAATGAACCAATTTTAAGAATCCAAGAATCTATTGATTTAAAATTATCTGGACTGTCACAAGCACAAATAAGACTAAATGCAAGAAGATATAGGCCACATGCTGAACTTTGCAGAGATAAAGTTGAATTAGAACTTGAAAGAGAAGTAAGTATTTAAAATATTAATTAATGAAATCAAAATTAACACATTTTACTTAAATTTACAGATAATTCACTTGGATGACTCTGTACAACAACTACAAACCCGAATAAAATGGGCAAAGAATATGCTCAGATCTCTTCATAGTGTCCGTCTGAATATTGAAGATGACATTCGCAAGAAATCTCATACAATATATGTTGATGAAGTTCAATGCTTACCATTAATGGAGAAAATTAATGTTATTCCATTTTGACATATTTTTAAATGATATAACTAATAAAATTAAATTACTAATTTCAAATTAAAAAGAAACAATTAAAATTAAAAATAAATTTTTTTATTAATCATACATACCAAAGTGTAAATTCAAACAATTTAATGCAATTTCATTAAATTGTACTTTTTACAGAACATTTTGTACATTTATTTTGCCACTTTTTACCAAAAAGATTGCATATAGTTTCAATTTCATATGCATTAATGATTAATGTTCATATATAGATATACCCAAGCAAGTAGCAATTGATGTTCTACATCATCAGGCCTAAGAATGGCAATAAGCTCCAAGGCATTTTGAAGGCACATTAATCCATCTCCCATACTTTCTTGCTGTCTTCCCACACCAACAAGATTCTAGCACATTCTTTTAAATACCTAAATTTATTGTGATAATAAGTATCTCAAAATAATATAGAAATAAATAATGAAGATTTACCTGAATTGGCTCCATTGCATTATATCAGTTTTCTGCCATTGGAAAATAACTATAGTCTATTTATACTAACTTGGCAGCTACTGTAAACACAAAGATTCTGTCGTATTAATCCGCCGAAGATTTTCATTGGTCAAATCACAATCGGAAGTGGCTCGACACGTGTTGACCAGTTAAGCCCCTTTCTCTGCACGTGTTAAAGTAGGTCAAAGTTGTCACAACAATTTAAAAATTACCGAGATAATACAATACTTAGAAAAGTTATTATAGCTTACTTTAACATTTTTACGTAGCCGTTTAAATTATTTCCATCGTTTAAATATAGTTTGTCAAAAATTATTATTAAATATATATTATTAAGACTTACAGAAAACATGTATGAATTTATCTATGTTATATTTATATAAATAAAAATTTTTTAAAATAATTATAGTGTAAACTTACCTTATTAATCATCTGTATCAGAACATAGTTGCTCAAAGTAATCATTTATATCGCTTTCGTCACTACTTGTGTTAGACTGAATAATCAGTTTTTCTACAACAGTTTCTGAAATCTCATCAAGTTCCCACATTCGTTGTTCTTCTTTTTCTATATGTTCAATACATTTTCTCCATCGTTCTTCATTTATTTGTTCGATAGCTTCATTCATTAAAATTCGCACATCCGACAGTTTGAATGTTGTGTTGTGACGTGCGATGTAACCTTTCATATCTGCCCATATCAATTCAATAGGATTTAAATTACAATGATACGGAGGTAAACGTAACACGTCGATACCTATTTCTTTGGCCATTTCGTCAATAATATATTTATCGTATTTATGTTTTATTTTTTTAACAATATCCAAAAGTTCTATTTTCAACATTTTGTCGTTATGACGAACCCTATTTTTTTCCAACCAAGAAATTATGTCAGCTTTTTTCCAACTACAATTTGGAATCTTCTCAATTTTAGCTGAGTGATATGGAGCATTGTCCATGACAACAACAGCATTACTTTCTAATTTTGATAATATTTTTTCAAACCATTTTTTGAAATTATTGCTATCCATTTCTTCATGGTAATCTTTTGTCGACTTTGATTCAAATTCATACAGACCACCATTCAGAAAACCTGTATTGCTGCCTATATGAACAACAACTATTCGTTTCCCCTTTCCAGAAGGATTTTTCAATCCAGTAGATCGTCCAGACATAAAAGCTTCGCGATAAGACGTAATTGAACAATCCTTCCATACTTTATTCTTGGTATGGCCCGCATTAATCCATGTTTCGTCCAAATAGTAAATTTTACGGCCTAAAGAACGCATTTCTCTTATTTTTCGTAGATATTGTCTTCGCCATAAAATGATATCGTCTCTTTCAATTAATCTACTATTTCTGTTTCGGTTCGTATATTTAAAATTAAGTAATTTTAACAAATTATATATCGTAGATCGAGTAAAGTCTGGTAAATCTGGATCGTCATTAACAGCCTGTAATACCTTATCTACAGTAGGTAATTCGTTTAAAAAATAAAAATTGTGTACTTTACCTCTAATGGCACATTTTGTGAATTCGTCATATTTGTCAACGAGTTGAGTACGCTTACGGGTTTTCGAAGGAGTTATTACTTTACCATTAGTAAAATATTCTTTACGAATTCTGTAAATGCTCCGTTCTGATATCCCTGTTGTCTGTGCTACCATTTTCACTAAATCCTTCACGCAGACTTCTGGATTCGTTTCAGTTAAAGAATTAAACAAATTTAATACTATTTGTTTATCCGAGCTCCTCAGCGATTTTCCTTGCCGATGTTTAATCGTATTTACATTCAAGTTTTCCATTTTTGTAATTCAACAACACAATTTGAAATAACGGTAGTTATTGCAATGAATGGAAAAAGAAACAAAAACATTATAGTGCGCATGACCGGAAAAAGTTTATTTCTAATGATTCAGAATGTGCAAATATTTATTAAAATAACAACTTAACAAATATGAAATAATAACATTTATAATCATTGCTAAGTGAATAGCATTTCATTAATGATTTTATAAATAACGAAGAACTATTTTCTGCGGACGAATGAGATGCAATACGATTTTTAATTGATGGACATGGGTTTAAACCAATAAACAAAGGGAGGTGTGTCTTAGTTTGTTTACAGTAGCTGCCAAGTTAGGATAAATAGACTATAG